ATTGTCAGAGAATTAATGCACTTGACAGCTTTGGTTTCTGATAAAAGAGGCGTTACAGCCTTCATTTAGAGTTACAGGGATAAATGATTTATTAAATGATTTATTTAGAGGCTAATATATAGTACATCATTGCAGCTCAAAATGCAAGACCTTCCTCACGCAGTAAGGCCGCGGACGTTCAAACTTGAAAGACATGAAACATTTCGATAAAAATCTCACAGCAATCGCGAGAAAATTATAACCGATACAATTTCTACAAATCAAGTCATAGAGCGGATTTCGTATGACTGTGCAAAAAAACACGGTACGTTCGTCCTGTGTCCGTACCGTAGCCGTGATGCATTGGAAAATCTTTACTTTCATTTGAAATTCTAGAAGGCGAGGTTCCGTGACCATGCCGTGCCGTGTCCGTGTTGTGATCCTTGCTTTTGCACAGTCACACGAAATCCGCTCTATGTATTCTAAAAATAAGTTTCTATTTTTGTGATTGATGACAGAAAATTGTAAATAATTGTAGAGATATTGACTATATGAACTTCAATTAAATATATGGAAAAAAAACAGTAGTTTGATCTGTAGTAAATTAAAATTTCTACACACGTTTTACGCGTTTTTTATGGCACTCCTACAAAGATATATACACTGACAAAATACACTTCATGTGGCTCTGTAAAGKTAGAGAAATTACTAAATTCCCAATTAATTAGTTAGTGTTAAGTAGTTGTTATAATGAAATTCCCCAACCATTTCCTTTCGGAGTTGTACAAAATAATGAATTGTTTCAAAAAGAGTGTTGCAAAACAAAAATAAACAAAAAAAACCCTGTCGTGCTTAATTTATCAAGATACATGTCATTGTTTCCTAGAAACCATAACTTCAGTTCATAGTTCGTGCTCGAGCAAATTGTATTGACCCTCTTTAAAGTAGTGCCATCATCTGCCTAGTCATCAAATCTCGTTTTTCTGTTAGTAKAGATATATATATTAACTTAGAAGGTATAGTGAAAATGGCAAGGAATAAAAAGAGAACYTTTTTTTTCCTATTATAGAACCTATTATAGATCACCCAAGTATCCATCAAACTATTGGCTATCACAAATCCAGCATTATGATTGGCTAGTGTACTACGGGCCTATTCATTATAGACCATATAATTTATAGTGGCATCAAATGGAGCGAAAATAGTCGAAAAAATGTCGAGAATCGAGAAAAAATGTTCTTTTATCGTCATTTTTGCAATTTTGTCCTATAGTCTGGTGAATTCTAAAACAATTAGACCGACTACAGTCTCATGGACTATCAACTCCAATATATACTCCTCTCGACCTTGCAGTCGAAGAGTTAGATCACACACATACCTATACTAATAMATTAAACTGTAGTTAAATTTCTTTATTTGTAGTATTCGTCTTACATAAGCGAGTGAATTAACATTTACCATAGAAGTA